GATCCCCATGAGCTCATTCTCCTCCGTGCCTCAGCAGCAGCGGGTCCTGAATCGCGGGAAGCAGATGGCTGCCCCTCTTTCCTCGAAAAGAGAGACAAACGAGAGCGGAGCTTTTTCCCTTGGAAAAAATGCTCGCAGTGCACGCCGATTGCCCCCTCGGAGGCATCGCGTGCGTGCTCTTCGCCCAAACAAATAACGCATAGATCGTGTGTGTCATCAGATGTTAAACAACTTCAACAAGGATGCACACATCCTTAAACGCTTTGCTAGTGCTCGCCATAATGAGATGAATAGAGATCGCTCTTAGCACAGAAATGCACGCTTCAAACAAAACAGTCAATGAAGACGAAGAAGAGAATGATGTGTGCTCCCGGCGCCTATTTATACTATAGTCGCACCGGTAGTGACGTCATGGCTGTCGCCGGCCAACGAGTTGGTGTTTTTTCAATGTATGCTTCAGACACGGGTCACGACGAGGCGTTCCCCATAGCGACCCCTAGAGGACGCAGTTCGAAGTTCCCATGAAAGGGAACTACCAAATTACACCCATAGAGCATCCTCTGAGATGAACTTTCTCACTGATTAACACACAGGTCACCATTCTCTTGAAAACTTTGTGGAGGATCGCTCAAGTGAGCCCGGGGTGCTTTTTGATCATTTGAGTGCTTTGTATCTTTGACTGCTCCAAGTCTCATGGGCTTGTGAATAACTGAATTAATAGAAGTGTTCACGGTAGACGTGTTGTGGTCTGACCTGCTCAGTGCCTGTGAACATAAGTGCTCACCTGCATTACCCATGGCCTTTGACTAGGTAAATGTCCAGTTTGGTTTTTGGCATCACAGATTAATAAATGTTGGCAAATGGCCAAAGAAAATTACCTCTGAAACAAATGAGTGACTGAAGCTCCTGGGAAGAATTAACTTGATGAAAGACAAGACAGTATGTGAAAACGGCTCTTTCATGTGCACCCAACTGCATGCTTTCCTTCGGGAGTTAACAGGCTTCGACAGTAGAGAGTAGAGAGTCATGCCCAAAGACACGGAGGAGATTGATTGATTTGCGATTTACCATTCGCTGCGCTCCACCCTTCTTGGTTACTGTTGCTAACTCAGACAAGCTCAGAACATTCCTTTTAAAGGAATGAAATGGAGGTTTTAGTTAGTTTAATTTTCAGTAAAAAACTGATAAATATCAAATTGATGTTACTCAAATGTGAGTTAAAATGAATTGTGACATTGCAAAGCATTATGTTCAATTATGCAGTATCGTGATTAAAATCTGTGAATACCGTAAATCAGAGTCTATGCAAACGCTT